AAAATTGTATTCTCGCTTCGATTTATAGTCAAACAATTCACATTATTATTATTATTATTATTATTATTATTATTATTATTATTATTATTATTATTATTATTATTATTATTATTATTTACCACATTATTCACCCTCTTTTATGCTTATACAGCAGCTCGCCTATCGTGGAAACTCGGTTCTATCTAAACGTTCTCCAGTCACTGCCTGGTTGAAAATTGTATGCTACCACCAATATACGTATAGTGATGCAGTTTTTCTGAAACCACGTGCACTATTCAAACTGGCTGCCTTCAACGTTCGCACACTTATGCAGGTCGGACAACAGATAGGACTGGCTATGTCTTTAGAAAGTCCTAATATCGATGTTTGATGTCTATCCGAGACCCGTATTCAAGACTCTGGTGAAGTACTACAAATTCGCTCTCCATCTGTCGCTTCGAGAAGCTTGTTTTACGTGCGTTTATCCGTTGACCCTGTGGCATCTTCGTCTGGTTTTGCTGGCGTTGGTGTCGCACTGAGCGCTAGAGCTGAGGCAGCACTAATCGATTGGATCCCCATTAACATTCGGTTATGTGCTGTTAGATTAGAGAGTTCGACGTGAGAAACGATGTCTTTTCGTCATCTCCGCCTACGCCCCGACAGATCGCAGCCCGGATGCAATCAAGGATGTTTTACCACCAGTTGACTGTTCTTCTCCACAAAGTGCGTTCGACAGATATTGTAGTACTAGCCGGAGACTTGAATGCTCATGTTGGGCGTCTAGGCACAGAAGAGGGTCTTTTAGGTGGCCGATGGGGACTTGTTAGTCGCAGGACAGATAATGGGGACCGTCTACTGCAACTTTGCACAGACCACAACCGAGAAGCCTGGTGATCGGGGCGTGCTAATGAGTTGGAAGCAGCAGCTGTATCTGGTAATTACCAGAAGCTCTTACAACTCATCCGAGTCACTGGCAGCAAGAAGTTTAGTGTGAGTGAAACAATCTGCGAGGATGATGGGATGCCAATCACTAACATCCATCGACGTCTTGGACGATGGGCAGAATTCTTCGAAAGGCAGTTCAACTGACATGCTGCTCCGGAAACATCGGTCAGACTTTCCTGCCCTCCATGGCCGGTGACGACTGATCCACCAAACGAGGAGGAAGTCCGCAAGGAACTCCAACTCTTGAAGCGTTACAAATCACCTGGCCCAGATGACTTACCTCCGGCTCTTTTTAAAGATGGTGGTGACTTTTTGACTAAGGAATTGACGACGTTGTTTACAAAGGTTTGGGAACTAGAGAGTGTACCAACGTCATGGAATGAGTCGATAGTTGTCCCTATCTTTAAAAAGGGTTCACGTCGTTCCTGTAACAACTATCGGGGGATAAGTCTACTTCCGATTGCGTCCAAGCTATTGGCTTCCGTCATACTTCGTAGGTTGTTCAAAACCCGAGAAAGATTGACTCGCGAGGAGCAGGCTGGGTTTCGTTCTGGTCGAGGATGTATTGATCATATCTTCACCCTCCGCCAAATGTTAGAACACCGCCATACTTATCAAAGGCCAACAATCGTAGTGTTTCTTGACATCAGGGCTGCCTTCGATTCGTTGGACAGGACTGTTCTCTGGGATTGTCTATTGAAGAAGGGTGTGCCTGAGAAGTTTATTAACATCCTAAAAGCCCTATATACAAACACCTCAGGCAGAGTGAGGGCATACAACCACCTCTCTCCATTGTTCCATTCGAGCAGTGGGGTTAGGCAGGGTTGCCCAATCTCACCATTCCTCTTCAACTTTGCCATCGATGACATTCTGGAAACAGCTCTGATGAATGTAAGTAATGGTGGTGTGGATCTGTTGCCTGGAGAAAGACTTCTCGACCTTGAGTATGCGGACGATATTGTCTTACTGTGCGATAATGCCCAAGCCATGCAATCCGCACTTAATCAGTTGGCAATCAGTGTCCGTAGGTATGGTATGTGCTTTGCACCTTCGAAGTGCAAAGTACTTCTACAAGACTGGCAGGATTCTAATCCTGTACTCACCCTGGATGGTGAGCAGATAGAAGTAGTCGAGAAGCTCGTGAATCTGGGTAGATGCATAAGTGCTGGTGGGGGTGTGAGTGATGAGATCAATGCACGAATAGTGAAAGCCAGAGCGGCTTATGCCAATCTGGGCCACCTTTGGCGTCTTCGTGATGTTAGTCTGGCTGTAAAAGGTCGGATCTACAACGCGTTGGTGAGAGCAGTTTTGCTCTATGCTTGTGAAACCTGGTCTCTCCGAGTTGAGGACGTTAGACGACTCTCTGTGTTTGATCATCGCTGTCTCCGAAGGATTGCTGACATCCAGTGGCAACACCATGTCAGTAATGCAGAGGTTCGGCATCGTGTGTTCGGACACAGAGATGATAATGTAATTGGTGTCACCATCTTGAAACACCGACTTCGGTGGCTTGGACATGTTCTACGAATGTCGTCCCAGAGAATTCCACGACGTGCATTATTTGCCGACTCTGGGACTGGTTGGAAAAAGCGAGGTGGAGAGGTGGTCAGTGTGTGACATGGTGTCGTGGTATGAAAGGAAGCTGCGAAGGACTGGCTTGTGTTGGTCCTTCACGATTCCCCGGTTGGGGTCTGAGAGATGGTGCAACACAGTGGCTAGAGACGTTATCAGATATGGCTCAGAATAGACGCCAGTGGCGGTCCTGCTGTAACCTTCTTTTACTTTCCTCATAAAAAAATGGTTGTCTTTTCCTTAACTGAAAGATTTCTTCTGATTGTACCTTTCTGTTGCCTCCATTATTACTATTATTATTTCAATATCTTACACTAATCTACTCGTTATTGTTCTTTTTTCTCTCTTCGGATTCTCATTGTTTTGTGCGGTGCATATATATTTGGTGCCCTCTTGTACCAATATTTATGTGTTCAAATAAATAGATAAACAGAATCCAGGTACGAACATGGATTTTATTACACCGTTAGAATGGACAAATAGGTTTATAAAAGCGTTCAAATTTCTGTGATCCAAATGCATACTCAGATATTTATAACAAAGCTTACACTTCATATGTTACCAAATCACTCACTTTTCTACTGTCTCAACTCAACAGAATCCTTGTGAAAATTATGTTGAGTAGATAGTTGTCAACAAACGCCACTACGGTACAACTTGAAGAACTGTATTAGACAGGCTATCTCCTGTCGAGCAAACAAAAGAATTTACTTTAACATGTTCATCGTCATAAATCTATTCATTTGATCGATGTGAATTTTCGAGACGTCGCGTAATATATGCGATCATACCTACTTCATTCCTTATTTACAAAAATCCTAGCCAAGATATATTTGCACTAAGTGATAACCATATAACTTATTATTCCTCCCAACCTATCTCTTACGCGTTGACCATGGAAAAAAGTAGTGAAAACCTTAACATTTAGTATTTTACCTGGTAAATAATCAAAAGCACAACCGAACATCACTCTATATTTTTTTATTGTTATGTTATTATTGCTATGTGAATGTTTTAAAATATAACAAAACAAAAGCACTAATATTTCAAGTCACGAAACTGTATTTGTTAAACGTCGAAGCGTAACATGTATGAGCAAACGTTCTGTAGATTCTCTCATTTATATTACGAGAACAGGACCACAGAAGTAGAAAGTTATCAGATGAATCTGATAGATGATTATCATCAATGATATCCAATATACTGTTACGATTCAACCAAAAACAAATACCATTCTCGGAAAATGTTAAGTCATTATCATTATCCTTACACATGAAATTCAGAGAAAAAATACCATTGCATTTTGAACACTTATAGAATAAAAAACAGGTTTACTAGAGTAGCTATAAGTCCTAGGTTTTGCTTCGTGTAACTCTACTCCCAATTGAGAAATCTAAAGATCTGAAAAGCAGATTCAGTGAACAACGAGGAATCTAACATAAACTCTGATCGATAAGATCATTTCTGAAGCGGGATTAAAATGTGATTTCTGATGAGGTAGTGTTAATACTACTTAACGGAGAGTTAAGTTATTGATGATGATGAAAGAAGGCTCACTTGGTAAACAGTCAACTTTTCTGATACTGACACAGAAATTCATAAAAAAAAATCCTTAATTATGTTAGGCAAAGTTCACATACTATGTTTTAAGACCTAAATTTGATTTGAACATAAATATTGGAAAAAAGGGGCACTAAATACATAAGCGCCATCCAAGTCACTTGTTTTGTGTGTCATCTGCGATACTGCCCGGGTGCCCAGACCGAAGCAGGTGCTTTTCTTAGGGGGCCACACATCGAGCCTTTGACCTAAAAGTCTGACCCACAAGGCAGTGGAGCATCGTGAGGAGATGCAGTCCCATGATAGCCGGTGACCAACGACTGGTTCATACGCCATTTGGTCCCGCAGGATACTGGAGTCCATGTGCACCATTGGTTTGGAATCAGAGTTTTCCAACTCCCCTAGGTAGACCTTCCATGTCCACCAACGCAGTTAAAGCGCCAGATATTCGCTTTTCATCCTCTCAATTTCGTAAACACCCCCGCCACGAGAAGGCAGTGAGTAGGACTTCCCTCTTAGTAGCTGTATACATGTGGCCATTTCGAGAGGGAGAGCGGACTCTCTCTCCCTCGACCGTAAAGGGCATTCGGGGTTGTAAATTGAACCTAAACGAAATAGAAAATCTATTATGAATAAACATAATCCAGAAATACTTTAACATATCATAAAAACTAATCAAACAATACACAAAGATTATCGTAAATCCACGAACCACATCATTTAACCGAAAAAAGCCCGAGATTAGGTGAATGCAATTACAGTTCCTATTAAACAATACAAAGATTAACACATACAATGAGCAACGAATGTAAACCATCTTATAGATAAATATATATTTAGCAAACCACAACAAAATGATTTCGTAAAAATACGTAATAAACACAAAGTGGGAAGCATCAAGAGCCATTAGAAAAAAACACCGAATGTGGCACATTGTTATGAAATCATTGTCCAACGGATATCGTTGATGACAGAGATGTGGTTACTGAAGTTACTATCGATGAGGTAACCCCTGATGATGCGGACAAATTGACATCTACTGCCGCTGGAACAATGACAGGCGCGAGAACAGACGAAGCACCAGTTGTTGCAGTATAGTAATAAGTTGCATATGCATCTGCTGTCAAACCAGCCGCACCTGAAGTCGATGTATCCGACTAAAATGGAAACAAGGACATAATCAGTTGTCTATACCAAAAATAAATCTTTTTTTTTTGAAAAAATTGACCACAAGAAAACGACTTTTAAAAAACAATAGAGAACATGAACGATGATTCGGAACGTATTAAACAGTAACAACAAATGTTACTAATTAAAATTACAATACAAATAGTGATGAAACATATCAAGAACTTACAAAATAAAGATCAGTAATGAAATAGGAGATTGATTGTAATAAAAGTAAACTCAAAATAAAAATACTTTGAACTTACCACACCGGGAAGAATTGCAACTGAAGGTGTCATAACGGGTATACCTGTTGGGACAGGAGGTGGAAGCCCAGATGTATTACCAAGAGCGGCAGCCAATGGTTCATATCCTCCAGCAGTGTAATAACCAGCGGCAGTGGATGGATCTGGTGCTGGTGTTCCAACTGAAGCAGCAGCTTCCAAAGCTGATTGGTCAGTATTTAAACAAGGTGTACGACCAACTGGTGCAGCAGAAACTACCATTTCACAGGAATTTGCTCCAATTACTGAACTAACTCTGAGAGAAGTTGTTGGCAAATTTAAAAGATCTGGCAACTGGTAACCATTTATAAGTCTGCTAGCTCCACGAGCAATAGCTGATGTGGTTACACCAGTATTGATTGCATCACAAAGACTCATGTATTCTTCATATGTAGCATTTAACCTAGATTTAAACACGAATCGAAATATTTTAGAGCAAACACTCAAAAAGACTGAGTAAACATTCGATTATAACTGAAAGACTAGTTCATTTTTTGATTACGAAATGAAAACAATGTAACTACTTAATGCCGAACTGGATACTTAAATTCTGTAATAACATACTGTGAATCAGAAACATGATGTTAATGTGAATAGCTCTTCAAAAACCACAGGTTGTGAATATTGTACTCGCTTTTATTATTGTACCCATCACAGTACACAATGTTTAGTGGCACAAAGCGTGCGTCAGACTTTTGGGTTTGTTTACAATAAGCACCATGATGCTACTGATGATTCTCTAAAAATATATGAACTGGTGTTATTTAGTGCTTTCAATTAGATAAATTGGCAATAATTTGTTAGAATTATCAAGTTAGTCTGTAGTATCTAGTTCTATATCGAGCCCACATGGGTCATTCTAACTTCCGGACAGGTGTATTTATTCATTCTTCTTGAGTCACACGTTGACCTAATTAATTATTTGTTTACCAACCTTGACTGTTTTTATGTGGGTCTGTGTGCACTGCTTATGCTACTCATCACATGTCTAGCTTATTTTGTTCTGACCATAAATATTGAGTAACGCTTGGCTAAATGGAGTTTACTCATTCACCATCTTCACTACGCACCATTCCGTTTCGTTTCGCTTCGCTCTCTCCTTTTCGTTTTGTTTCTCTGATCGTCTGGCTGGATCAACGATTATATGAAATATACGTATTCAAACTTCATTCTCGTGTTTTGGATATTTAATTCTGTTGTTCACTAACGCGGATTAAGTCAATAAAATATACGAGGGTAGTTGGGATGCATATTTCAATAATAATCAATAAATGATCTAATCGGAGTCAGATAAGAGACCAAACTAAACGTCCGTGGCGTGGTATGGAAGTCGATTCTTAAGGTGCAAAATAGAAGTCTTTAGTTAATCAACAAGACATAAAACGTTAAAAGTATAACTTACCTAGATAAATCAGTATCGAATTCTTCTAAAAATTGTAGCTTACGTTGACAGAAAGCCAATTTGATATGCGCTGGCAAAACTGAATCAATTGTGGCAAGATTAGTGGCTTCAATAAATCCTTCAATATCAACCGGCCTACGTTGATAGATGATATCGAGTAACTGGGCATACAACCGCTCGTTACGCTTTTATCATAAAAATACAAAACAAGCATTGTGTAACAACGGAAACTAAATCATCTTGATTTATAATACAAATAATGATGTAACGCAATAATTACAGGTAAGATCATGAATTATACACTGAAGATTAAGTGTAGTATGTATTCATCTTAACTATGGTAAGTAGATTGATGCTTCAACCAGAAATCCGGTTGAATAAGCAGACGACTGAATCAAATGCAAATCAATAAATCAGGCACATGTTCACATAATCCTTTTCAATTTACAATACATAATAGCTACTGATACTACCCAGCTATTTAAACCTAAGTAGATGGGGTTTTAAACTGGTAGTTAAAATTTGAATACTTTAAACAGCAGATTGCCCTTGACTGAGGTTATTATAAAAAGAACAGCGATAGCTACTCAACCTAATTTAAGACATCATACTGATATCACTATCGAATATTAGTTTATAATAACCCCTTACCCCAAGACAGAAACGTTTAATTCATGTACTGATTGGAACAACAGATATAGCATAGGCAATGTGTGCTATTTAAGTAAACGAACTACTGCGTGACTTAAGGATTTAAGAATAAATCGGTCGAATTTACTACTACCAACGATCAAGATCTTATATAAATGCAGTGGTCTTAGAAATGAAACAGAATCATACTTCGGATAAAAATAAAGAACCACATCCACTGAAAATAATTCTATTACTGATGTTAACTGAGACCATATGAAAGAATCCTAATGTGTCTAGTTTACAGCTTCTAGTCGTTATGACAAATGTCAAAGTTATAAACTACAGTGTGATTGACAAAAAGACTCACTGGGTCATAATCAATGGCTTCTTTAAGGACTTTAATAGCTGCCTCTTCGCAAGAAATAACGACACGATCCTCGTCCGTAAGTTCCGATGGAGAAGGGGCGTGAATCTCAATTACTTTGTGTCGTCTGTTAAGAAGTATACGTATACGTTCCTCTTCTTCAGCTGTTTGGTCAACCTCAGGAACTGGTTTTGATTCATCCCCTGATACGTCCTCAGCATTTTCTTCATCTTTATCCTCTTTTTCAGAACTCTCATTTTCCAGTTTCGGTTTTTTGCTAGAGCTATGCTTTCGCCTCGACTTTTTGCTTTCCCTGTGCCTACGCTTATGATGTTTTTTCTTTTTTGTGAACAGGGAACAACTAGAATGGGAGGAGAGCCAGATTCATCTAAAGCATCCTCATTTGTGTGCTCATCTTTGTTGGATGTCGTCGTTGCATCCATTGCTGGCTTCTCGGAGCTTTCCTCATCAGTTTCTTCATCCATTGTCACATCGTTATCAGACGAGGCAGCTTCAATATCCGAATCAGATTCACGGTCGCTAGTTAGAGGTATTGATTTCTTTTGCTTCATCTGTAATATTTTCTTCATCGACTTTTGTAGCCCCAGGAGATTTGGAAGCTTCATCTGATTTCTCAGTGAGGTTATCATTACTTTCTGCTCCCACAATTTTTTCTTTGAGATTAGTTTCTTCGATTTTAGGTAGGTCAATTATCATCGATTCATCCTCTTCCTCTTCATATTTCGTACTGAGCAACAACATCCATACAGGTATTCCGTCTGGGGCTAGTGATTCGTTGCGATGAAACAATCGAGCAAGACGACCAGCAAGAACACCCGCTCCTGCGCGAGCTTGTGCTGCAGTAGCAATAGCTTGTGCTACAGTGCGAGAAGCAGTAGCTCCAGAAACACATTGTGCTACTTTATTTTGCTCCTGAACTAGATAACGAAGCCGATTGATACCGTTGCGCAAACAAGCGATAATATCGAACAGCTGGAAACGAATATAACAATAACAAAAGTATGTTTATTTCAAAATTATTAAATGAGAATGATAACATAACAGAAACATAGTGTGCAATATCTATGCCACTTATTTCCTGAAAAACACTCATTCTGAGTGTGGATGTAAGTACAACTCAACAAGCATGACTAAACCGCTGGGGATTTAAAACTTGAATAGCATGATCAAAGGATCTGTGCCGAAAAGCTGAAATTCCGAAATCAGTCAAAACTCAAATAGTCATTAAAATCAATGAAAACCAGAGAGCACTTAGCTAATAATCGAATGTAACTTGGGCACCAGTGAGTTCATAAGCCCTATCGTAAAAAACCATATAAAGCAAACTCATGTAACAACCTGCACATTTGATAACCACTGTAAGCAAATTCGAGAGTCACTCTTATATGTAATACCTCCATCCCAGTGACTATCTCGAACGACGAAAAATATTAATACTACATCATACGAAGTGATCGCCATAAACTGTGGATGTTTAAAAAAAACAATTCAGCTTTATAAGGGTAGACCAAATAATAATCAATAATTGTGCATGTACCACTAGTTAAAAGTATCTAAACAATGACAAAAATAAACAATGACCGTATTAATATCTGAATCCAACAACTTTTATGACTAGATAAAATTCTTCTATACCTATTACCACTGTGTGCCCACATTAAAGACAGACTGATTTTCAGATGTCACCTTATGATTGCTTGCTAATAGTCATGTTAGTACACGTAGGCTACGTGGCTAGGGTCGTACAATTATTATAACCAATGTCTGAAGGCGTTGACAGGCGACTCAGAATCGGTCGAAATGGCGTAGATGTATTCAATATTTCTCTTCCCTTAGATCTCATATGGCGAGGATTGGCAAACCAAGGGTCGCATTCCTACAACTGAAGAAAATATCGAACTTAAAACAACTGTCAACCAATATCAAAGTCACCATCTTCAACACGAACATCAAGACAGTCCTACTGTACGGAGCTGAAACTACAACTACTACAACCATCATCAAAAAGTATTTATAAATAATTGTCTACTTAAGATACTCAATATCCGTTGGCCGGATATCATCAGCAACAGCCTACTGTGTGAGAGAACAAAACAACTTCCAGTTGAGAAGGAAATTAAGACAATGGAAGTGGATAGGACATATATTGAGGAAATAATCAAGCTGCATCACGAAGCAAGCAATAACTTGGAATCCTGAAGGAAAACGGAAAAGAAGAAGACCAAAGAACACATTGCGTCAGGAATTGGAAGCAGACATGAAAAGAATGAATAACAACTGGAAAGGATTGCTCAGGACAGAGTTGGATGGAGAATGCTGGTGGGCGGTTTATGCTTCTCCACGAGGGGTTATAGGCGTAAGATGATCTCATCTATTTACATTATCCTACACTTTTCTGTCTCACAACTTCATTCTCTCTTTCTTAGATCATGTCTCTACTTAACCTTTTTCCATTACAAATGATATTGTTATTATTCCTTCTATATTAACATTTTTTTCTCGATAATTTCATTTTGATGTGTTGAGTTCAATTTTCCTTATAACTGACCGACTGGCTTGCTACTAGAGAATAATTAACTGCCAGTTACATTCAAATACATCAAGTATGTTTTTGGACAAAAAGAAGTACAGATAATATATCAAATGCACTACAATATTGGCTGTAGGAAATGTATTTCAGATTATTGTTCTCCATCGCATCATTACAAAAAGATTTTCCGGAATAAAAGGGTTTCTGTTAACATTGTTACAATGCATTAATATAAATATAAAATACATAAAAACAAATAAAAAGAATTTCTATACTCCATAAATAAGACTGAAAAACAGAACATGTTCAATTCTAAAACTTACTGGTTTCCCTGCTCTTCTTAAAGCATCTGCTCGTCTACAACATACAAGAGCACTATCTGTTAAGCGTTTCTCTAAGTCTGTCAAAATATCGAGACAAGTAAGGACTTCGAATTTTTGAGGATTATCTAAACATGCAGGATATCTATCCTCGAAACAACCCCAATGCCAATGAATTGTTGGCTTGTATGGTAAATGAGTGATACAAGCACGTCGCCATACTTCACGTGCAGCAGGTATATCTCCTTCGGTATACTAAAATAAAAACAAATGCGTTCAATTATCATCCATAATTTCAAACGCAACGCCATAAGTTATGCAAGTTGTACACAATGTCACTCCCCTCCACAGAATTTTCCATGATTTACTGTTCGCGCTCTTTTCAAAATGATAAAGGGAACTGTGTGTGTGAAATTTACTGTTTAACACTGCACGAAAAAATCTTAATGTACGCAAATTGGTTACAAGACAATAATCTAGATTTTGATTTAGTTCACTAGATTTATTAAAAATTATTAGTCGAAAAGCATAACATTATCTAAATAAGCTTGATGTTATATTTCAATAGAACCTCTGGATACGGATGTGTATATGTGCATCCATAAACTTGAAATATTATGGGATTCAAACGCGTATTGCTTCCAGGCACAGTCAAACAAGTTCTTTTCCTGTTAACTCTGTGCATCACTTTGAAATCAAAATCTGAGTAAAATCAACATAGAAACTAAACGAGAAGAAACTGGACAACCTTAACAGGATTGAATGCTTCGAAAAGAAAGTATCATCAATAACGTAAACAAAATAAGACTATGTAACTAAAGCATAGAACAAATGATTGTGAAATACAATACAAAAAAATAGACCGTAAATGTAACTGGACACTATTTTAAAACAATAAAATATATGTAAATTTTAAAAGTTCTAAAATAAAATAATACCTCTAAATATTTTGCATAACGTATCCAAAAGTGTTCATATAGAGCACAAGCAACAAGACAACGCTCATAAAGGACACGAACACGACGTTTAGCAAGTTTTACTTCAGGATATTCAAGAACAGCTTCTTCTAATTTATCATCAGATAACTGATTAGTCACTTTTATTTGTTCTCTTATATGTGAAATTACAGTTTCAGCTTCTGCTTCTTCAAAACTTAAATATTCAGCCCAGTTATTTAATTGCACTTCTTCAAGAGGTTTCACATGGAAATATGGACGTCGGATCTAGATAATACACAAAGACATATAAAGACATAAAATTAACTCAACATACTCAAAATCAAAATCTTTGTTTTGGTTATTTATGCTCTGAAGAAATGGCTTACACTGAGTTACGAAACGTCAGAAAATCTAATTTTTCTACTGATTGGGGTATTAAAAATATATTGATTTATTTATAACAATTTACCCAATGCTCAATTTATTCGAAACTATCAAATCAAACCTTGGTAATGATACCAACAAACAGAACACTTAAAAAGTTGTAATAAGTCAGAAATAACGAATATATGACATACCTTTTCTTCAAAATACCACCGCCGCATAATCTGCATATAAGTTGCCCGATAAATTTGTTCACGGGAATCAATTATCATTTGTCGTACAGACGCCCTGACAGAATCTGTTATCTAGGAAAATAGTGGTTTGGTGAATATGTAAATATGAATTTCAGGAAAAATGTTATACTACTCAGCACAAATATTAAGCATTTCAATTTCTATAATGAACCATAAACTTAGTAGTCTGACAAAGGGATGAAGTTGTACCCATTGCGATTGAGTGTAATCTAATGAAAAAATTAAAACCTAAATGGTATACGAAATTTATAGATAAATTATGTGTTTCTTTGGGGTTGACAATAATGAATACAAGAATACACTACTTCTATACAAATATAAGCAGCAAACTAATATAAAAATGTTCTTTACTATATAAGAACAAGCCTACAGAAGTAGTAAAATACAAGAGGAATTATCTATTCGCTTCAGGGGTCCATTCATTTCAAGCGCATTCGTGGTTTTGCGTACAAAATGAATACGATTTCTAATTCTTTGAATTAAAAAAAACAGATAACAATTTACCCAACAAGTAAAGAGTATTAGCTACTCATTATTAATATCCCCTTAATACCAATTAGCTAGTGTTTGCGTCATACTACTATATAAGGGAGACGGTGATGAAAATACATATAGTAACTATGCAGTATATGACTCGTGTACACAGTTTGATCCTACAAATGACAGTATTAACCCGAGTTGATTAATTAGCAATAAATACAGCCTAGTAACTAAGTAAATACTTATGTACACAGGGTTGAATCAAAATTAATATATGAGAACTAGATATACTATCCGGGTTAGACAAAATAAAATAAGTAGAGCAGCTAAGTGGAGAGATCGAACAATTGAGCTACACCAGCCGAAGTATATCAATAGTAACTGATTGCAGTTCGGAATGAAATAAACACGAACTAAGTTGCTAGTAGATCCACATGAATCCCGTCTACGGTTAGTGTTAGTCCCTACCCCGGGTAAACGAGGAGTGTTGGGTGTAGGGTTGGTAACCACACCTGTTAAGAAGGAACCCCGTTACAAAAACAGCTATCTACACAAGATACTCCACATTCATTGGTCAGAGACCAGTAATAACCTACTCTGATGGAGACTGCTAGCTGAGGAGAAAATTAAGGAAACAAGTTGAGGATGGATATGATGCATTGCAGAAACCACCAAACTGCAGCGCAAGACAAGCCCTAAACTCGAATCCTCGAGGGAAAGAATTGGAGGCTGATATCAAGGTCACGAATACCACCTGATAACAACTAGAAAGAAGAACCTATAAGAGAGTTTATTAGAGATTTCTGGTTGGCAACCTATGCTCCAAAAGTGTTAATACAACCCCAAATACTGTAAATATGGCGTTATACTTAGTCTCAATAGGTAACTAATTGCAACTACTGCAGTGTTGAATCAACTAGCAACCTACTCTTGATAAATTAGGCGGCAAAGTATAATGTACATTGGAAACAACACCATGGCGGTATCACCATCCAATCAGTGATTCCTCTAGAAGCTAGGATCTGCTAATATCACTAAAAGCTTCACAATTAACAACTTATTCAAATTCAAATTCACAAGCAGAGAGCTACGTAGATGTATTAATTAATGAGTTGAATTTCCAAATGATACAGTAATCTAAACACTCGGAACTAACTTCTGATTAGAATATGAAAATATATCATCCGCAAGCTGAAATAATGGGCTGCTTACGACTACATTTCACCTATGTGGAATGTCCCAAAAGCGAACAATGAATTAACAACCTACAAGTAAGAATTACTATTCACCAGACTTATATGAAAGCGTAACATTATATCATATCCGGAACAAAAATGTAAACCATGAAAGAAACGAACTCCTGAATCCCATTACTAAGAAAATCTCCGGGAATATACATTGATTAATTCTAAAAACGAACCATTATCCACCCAAAAAAGTGGCTTCACACCTAATGTACCACTATCGGTTGTAGCAGAATAAAACAACCCAAAAAAACTTCCGTATTTCATACAACTTAGTATTAAAATAAATTTGAGAAAAAATACAATTAAAGAATTGTCAATAAATTTCATACTTCGATCACTGGCTTTGTAGATCCTAAAATTGGTGGTTCCAACTCATCACTAATGTCTCCTGTTGATTGTTCAAGCGAGATAGGCTTGCCAGTAGCCGCTGAAATTTGTGACACCATACTTGCAAACTCATTTTTAGACAGTATATCCTCAGGACGATTTTCCTCTACTAATTTATTGAAACTGATATTGGAAACAACAACAATAAAAATGATTGCCAACGTAACTCAAAAGTGCCTTTTAAAATAAAAAAATACGTACCAGAATTTAAGATTTCACGTGGGTAATTTCTGCTCTCTATATTTTATGAACCAGTCTTTCCTGACCACCATGGAACACAAACAAAATAAACCTACTAAGTATAGACGATGAAAAATCGCAACTTGAAAGCAATGTTTGAATTCTTTAACCTAGTAGTTGGTGTTAAACAGTGGTCTATACCGAGTCTGAGGAACATAAGTACTTTGACCAGCTAACAATAAACTTGACGGATTTAGCGGTTGAAATAAAATGACTGTTTGCTATATATAAACTTATGGTACTTGTGGTTTCAGAAAGATAATCAAATATCAGTCAAGGATCGACTTTGTCGTTAACAGGAAGCTGTCTAACTTTTTCTTCGTAAGATATCACTATTAAAAGTGGAGAAAGTGTAAATATCTGAAGGCTTTGAACGCCAATTCCTTCAAATATTTTTTTTCGAAAAACGTCTAGCTAACAAGCGAGTAATATTGGGAATAGATGTGGTGTTATTTAAACGAGATAAATAAGTTAATAAACTTGTAGGCCTGGATTGATAAGTGGTTTAGACATACGTAACACAAATTAATATTTCTCAACCTCAACTCCTAGACCTGAGTCCGATAAGTCAAACTTATTTCGAGGAGGGAAAGGTGATGCTTTGAGCCAATCAGGAATCAGTCAAATGACAAGTGCACAAGATTAGCCAAGAAATGGTTTGCATACACTACTGAAGACTTAATTTTCTAAGGGGAAGATTATATATATATATATATATATATATATATATATATATATATGCGAATTTTACTTTGAGGAATACAGCAACCCGAACTCATGAACGGTTGCACATAGTTTCCCAAGGACTTTTAAGACAGAATGTGATCTTGTATAGGCAAAATAACTAGGACAGTAGCATTGAATGTAATGAAGTGAAATTCAGGCAACAACCGTTGTGATAAACTAAACCAACCTGTCCCAATTTTGAAAGTAAAGTTGAGTTGGGATTGATAATAAACGAGCATATATATTCGCAGCATTAACTAGTCGATTGTGTCCACTTTCCCAGCTGATATAGTGCTCCCACAAGGCATCAGAACGAAATTCAAGCCCAGCAGAATCCACTGCAGATTCATAGAGACTGAAATACATAAGAATCATATTGATTAAAAAAGGGTTTGCGTACACTGAACTAAAAGCTACAACGAAAAGCATTATAACAAATGTGCATACAACAGAAAAAGAATAAACCACTGACCTGCGCATTTTAGTTTCATAGTCATCATGAGTATGGTAGTATTCAGTGGCAGCGTCCAAATAGGCCGTCCAGAGGTCAACACTCAAAGGTATGGTCTTAACTCCCATTTCGTAAACCTGACCAAAAATACAAACCGATCCATTTAAAATAGCATTAATGACTCTTAAAAGCAATGAAACAAGGAAAATGTGCTCTCAGAGGTCTGACTACTTCTAAAAAACTATATAAAGATTACAACAAGCTATTGTCTTCAGTAATAATTACAAACTACACATCACTAAAATGTAGTTAAGAGAGCCGAAGCTAACTACCAAGTAACTGAAGATATTGTTTTCTTGCGCTTTGAAAAGCTTGCCACAAATAAATTCTCACAAGGAAAAATCTCGTGGAAAAATTCGGTAAATTATTGGTGAATATGTTTTAAGTTGAGTGAGTTAGTATTCTAAGTAAGCGATTTCCAAACAGTAACGTAAGGGACACAACTTTACTCCACTTACTTTATTCTGAGTGGTTAAATAGAAGCGTATGATTTTAAAGAACAATTATTTGGATGGATCGTTCTTTGAAACGTCTTACATTAAAGCATATGATTTTGCCACTCAGTTATAGCCAGCCTAAAACCTGAAACGTTTGTTCCAGTCGAACTCCAACAACTTATATCAACACCGAGACAATAAACAAAATGAAAAGTAAAAGGGAAATCATGTCAACTGCAGTGTAAAGTTACCCATAAAACATAGTTCGAAAGAAATGAGACGGAATCCCACTCGACGCAAGATTTGGGTAAGAATGTCGAATGAATAAAACCATGTCAGTGTACCCGATTCTAGGCTAATTTACCTAATATTTCTAACCAACAACACTTTGTGCAGAAAATAGAACTTAAGAACTAGTAATAAAATAATGTTATATTTGTTTTATCCAGAGTGAATACTTTATTTATACTATATTGGTTTACATTAATCCACAAAACGTCACCAATTCAGATTTCTACTCATTGGGATATTAAAAAAATATATCATTTTACCATTACCTTTCTACCTAATGATCAATTTCCTTGAAACTATCAAGTTCAATCTTAGAATTGATACCTACTTAAGGACTAGTAAAGGATCCATGAATCAACGTGCTATATACTAGGCAAAAACAGTGCCTAATATATCAGCCTGAGCGACTCCTTGCATCGAATACTCCCATAACAAAATGCCTATTTAAACAAAATCTGCAACAATTTAATAAATAACCGGCCAGCAATTTGGAAGCATTCCTACAAAGGAAATGACATTGTGTCAACTAAATTATAACAACATGTAGCTCTTCTAGGGTTACTGCGGTTCCAAGCCCACACAAAAGAGGAGGGTTGAGAATGAAATCAGCAACCCCATCCCATAGAAAACAAATTTGCTGAAAAAAAACACTAACCAAAAAAAGTTAAACCATTTAAACCCTGCACTCCGAGTTTAAAAAAAACCTTCATTCACGAGAATTATGACGCCTCACGGTGAAAGCCGAGATTCTTCAGAAGTCACGAGGTCGACGACCATTCTAACCAGAGCAAAAATTGATATAGGTACATGGATTGTCCGAACAATGTAGGAGACTAGAAGGACTAGTCAAATAGAAACGAAAATGAGAAGATATAACCTAGCGGTGCTCTAAATCAGTGAAACCCATTGGATACACGCTGGACAGAAAACATTAGCTTCGAGAGAGATACTGCTCTACTCTGCCCACGAAGAAGAAAATGCTCCGCACACGCAGAAAGTTGCAATAATGCTGTCCAAAGAAGCACGTGAAGATCTTATAGGATGGGAATTTCATGGATTCTGATTCATCAAAGCACCCTTCAAAGCAAAGAAGGAGATAATCACAATGAATGTTATCCAGTGTCATGCGTCTACCAATGATAGTAGTGAAGAAGATAAAGATCAGTTTTACGAGAGGCTTCAGTCGGTCGTGGAGAAATACCCAAGAAGGGACCTGATCATCCTGATGAGAGATCTGAACGCCAAAGTCAGGGTGGACAACACCGGGTATGAAGATGTCATGGGACGACGTGGACTGACTAGAAGAAGGGAACGAGAATGGTGAGGGATTCGCGAATTTATGTGCATCCAACAGAATGGTTATTGGCTGCACAATATTCGCCCGTAAGCACATGCACAAACTACATAGATCTCACCGAATTACACTACACATAATCAGAAGGATCATATTTGCATCACTGAGATGTTCAGAGGCCAATGGAATACGTGAGAACCAGGAGAGGAGCTGACATATATTCCGATAACCATCTATCTGATGTTCACCAAGATGAGACTGAAGCTAGAGAAACAATGGACAACTGGATAAACAGCATTATAAAGGTTCAATACAGCCCTCCTTCGAGATACTGACAGACGCAACCGATCCATGACAGCTCTCAGCAACAGGTTCCGAGCCTTACAAGATCTATCGAAAGAAGAAACTATTATGGAGGAAAATTGGAAATGGATTAAATAAACACTAACATCAACGAGCCAGTCAGTCAGTAACAACGTAGAACTTCGTACGTACGTACATCAGTTCGAGTTGCCACACCACATTAGCACAGAGATGCAGTTGTCGATTCAAATCCCGTAGTGGTAGAGGTAATAAGAGTATAAGCAGTAATCGGGAAGATTAGGGTTTGGAGATGTTATTTAAAGAGTATAATCCAGTGAAATAAATTTGGAAAGAGGAAAAAAGGGACATGAAGAATTCAGAAGATTAGAATTTGGGAGAACACAGAGAGTGGATGCACCTGCGCCATTGCAAACGATTTTGAGCCATGTCATTCAGGGTCTCTAACCATCGGTTGCTATCATCTCGCGGTCCCCAACCAGGTAGTCTACACCTACCAACATGACTCAGTTCACTTGTCAGTGACTTCATGGACTTGTGCCATGTTTTGGTTTGGCCGCCCCTAGCTTTCTTCCAACCTACTCCTATACCACTGAACATAGCACGTCGAGGCAGTCGGTCGTTGGGCATACGTAACACGTGTCCCAGCCATCTCAACTGATGAAGTTTCACTACTTCATCAATTGATTTGCCATCCTTACCTAGTACCCGTTTCCTAACAACTGTGTTACTTACTCGATGGTCCCATGATATACGAGCAATGTTTCGAAGACACCTATGATCAAATACTAGTAACCTACGGATATCCTCTACTCTTACCGGCCATGTTTCACTGCCATAAAGTAGGACGGAACGAACTGCTGCGCAGTAAACACGTCCTTTGGTTGATAGACGGATATCTCGCCTACGCCATAAATGACGCAAGTTGGCAAAAGCTAGTCGAGCCTTCTGTATCCGTGCTGAGATTTCGTCACACACTAAACCACAAGGGCTGATGAGACTTCCAAGATAAGTGAAGCGGTCGACACACTCAACTACTTCACTCCCTATCACTAGTTCGGGTGTCGATGTAACCCAATCCTGAAGCAACATTTTGCATTTCGAGGGAGAGAATCGCATCCCGAACATGCTTGCATTGTTGCTTAGAGTGGTCAGAAGACTCTGCATTTTGTCAGCGTCTTCACCAAATAAAACTATGTCATCAGCATATTCTAAGTCAACAAGTGAACCTCCCGGTAGAAGTTCAACCCCTGGAAATTTAGATGAGGAGAGTGTTATCTCTAAAAGTACGTCGACCACAAAGTTGAACAAGAATGGGGAGAGTGGACAGCCCTGACGAACACCACTTGAGGTAATCAATTCTGATGACAGTTCGCCATAAGCTCTCACTCTACCAGTTGTGTTCGAGTAGAGAGCCTTTATAAGGTTAATGTACTTCTTTGGTACTCCTTTCAGTGACAAACACTGCCATAGAACCTCACGATCAACAGAGTCGAATGCCGCCTTAAGGTCGAGAAATACTACCATTGTGGGGCGTCTGAATGTGTGTCTGTGTTCTAGAACCTGACGTAGTGTGAATATCTGATCTATACAACCACGTCCAGGTCGAAAACCAGCCTGGTTTTCTCTAGTCTGCTCTTCACGAGCTTTAGTTAGGCGTCGAAGTATTATTGAAGCTAATATTTTAGACACTATATTAGTCAAACTGATTCCTCTGTGATTGTCACAAGAGGACTTTTGTCCTTTCTTATAGACTGGCACAATCAGTGATTGAGACCAGTCAGATGGGATTACGTCCAGTTCCCAAATTCTACCTAAGACCTCAGTTAATCTCATTGCTAATACTGGACCACCATCCTTAAAAATCTCAGGAGTAAACCTGTCAGGGCCTGCTGCTCTCCCTCGTTTCAGATTTCCTATGGCTTTTTCAACTTCGTAAAGGGACGGAGGACCTACATTAACTTGCCATTCAGGTTGACTGGAGATCGTGGGAAACCGAAGTGTGGCTGAAGGCCAGTTGAACTGATCCCTAAAGTGTTCTGCCCATCGATCCAATCTCCTGGATTGAGAATGAATAATATGTCCATCTTTCTCTGAGATTGTTTCGCTAACGGTCGGGTTCCTAGTTCCGGTTTCCTTAACGAGTCTGAACAATTGTCTGCTATTACCTATTGCCGCTGCCTTTTCCATCTCTCTTGCTTTCGCTACCCACCACTGTTCGCGATCATTGCGTAGACTTCTTGTCAGCTTGCGCTTAAGCTGACTCCGCTCTTCATTATGTTCAGAGCCAGGTGGAATGAGTTTCCGAGCATCTATCAGTGAGATAGATGCTGCTGAGATCCAGTGTTGCTCCCTAACCTTCTGGTTTACCTTACGGGCAGATATCACTGCTGTTTCCACAGCTTTTCGGATATCATTCCATGCTGCATCGGGGTGGGCATCACATACATGGCTGCCTAACTGTTTTCCTAGTTGTTCCTGAAATATACTCTTAGCTTGACTATCATTAAGTAGGCCCTAAGAGGTTTCCTTGCAGCGTCTTTCCTACGTCCAGTAAGACGCAAGCAAATACGCGCTCGCACTAGAGCATGATCTGAATCTAGGCATGTGCTCCAGAATGAGCGACAGTCTTCTATCGAGCCCCTCCATCGGTGGCTGATAGCGATGTGATCTATTTGGGTCCAACGTTGGGACGAATTAGGGGGTCGCCATGTTAAAAGATGTTTTTCCTTAT